CAAAACAGCACATGGGGGTATGTAGTATAGTGTACAGCGGAGCACGCTGGTTGCTGTATGGACATGGTGGAAAATTGTGGTGCTGGCGATCTAAATAGTATCTTTGGTGCCCCGTATGTACAGCGGAGCTCGCTATTGTAGTTGCTCTATGTAAATGGTGAAAAATGGTCGTGCTTGCGATCTGGTGTGTTTGGTGCTCCGGCGATTGTGCACCGTCCTCACTGGCTGTTGTTGTTGCGGAGGAGGAAAAAGGCGACCCGATCGTCGATCAATGTTACAGCACCGAAACGTTGGTGACAGCCAGTTGCAATTGCCATCCACTAGCCCCATTTCTAAGGCCTCGTTTGTTTTTTTAGCGCTCTGCCACAAGAGGTTGTCGTGTGTGTTGATCCAATGACGTTTCGAACCGCTACAATGTGGTGTATGCCACAACCTATTTTTGGTCGTATCTTCGTGTGGGAGTGTTACTTGATAAGTTTTCTCTTGCGTTGCTCGTGGATCTGCCTCTCTCTCCACCCACCGCTCTCTCTGTCTCTTTGTCTCTGTCTGTTTTGACTGAGATGGGAAGAAAAAAGAAGAAAGGGGAGGTGCAGTACCCTCTTTTGCTCTCTTTCGGTTTCGTTTCGGACAAGAAGGACGGGCAACGATCGATAAGAGAGACGACGATATAGAGGGTAAACAAAAAAAACGGGAGTTTTGTATAAAATCCCATGTGCGCGCATTTTTGTCGGGATCTTCAGGAGAAGGAGGACATCGGAGCTTTCTTCAAGACGATGAGCTCGAAGGATCTGAAGGACACGTGCAAAACGAGGGGCATAAACGAGGACGGCACGAAGAAGGAGCTTGTCAAAAAGCTTACGGTAATCGATCGCGTTCGCCGGCGATGGATTTTTTTTTGTTCTGGTTCCGTAGCTTTTGTTCGGGGAGTGTGTAAGCCCTCCTTTTCTGTCTGCCTATTTTTGAGTGTCTACCCCCCTTATCTCTCTCCCTCCCTCCCCTCCCTCTATCTCTGTCTTTCTGTCCTTGACTCCGTCTGGATGCCGCTTGTGTGTCCCTTCCGAGTGCAGTCGAACCCCCTCTCACACATGTTACCCCCGTCGAAACACATGTCCTTTGAAGCAGTAAGAAAATAACCACAAAAGTGCAAGCTCTAATGATCAAGGTGGCATCTCAAATGTAATTATCTCGTCAGAACCAAAAAAAAATGCACTGATTTTTTTAGCAAGGTCAGCAGGAGGTTTCTTGCTGGCTTCGGTGGCATATGTGATGATAATGACGGAGAGAGACAAGCGCGCGCATGCCCCCCCCCAACGCCCTGTTCGGTCGATCCTGCTTCTGTTCGAAGGACGACGCCAAGTTCCAGGTCAACCTGCAGGAGGCTAGCGGCAAGGCCGAGGAAGAGAAAAAGAAGCCTCCACCGAAGAAGGTGGTTATTTTTTTATCCATGAAACGGCCCGCTTGTTATTTCCCGAAAAATCGCAAGACGTTGGGGGTGAACAAGGGCAGCTAGCTCAGCACTTGATCCTACACTGCTACTGTAGACGGTGGCGAGAAACTGAACCTCGACCTTGACGTTTAGCGTGCCGGCTACTGTTTCTGTATCGCTGGACTTGGTGGGGCACGAGGCAAGGCTTGGCGGCGTTAATTTTCGGCCGGGTTTGAATTGGACTACTACTGTTTGTAGAGCGAGCGAGGGAGAGAGAAAAGATTATCGTAGCATGAGCTTCAATGGCGAAGCGGCCTTAGCGCCCTTGATTCCTTGACCTTTCCCTGCAGCCATGTTGATCGTGTGCGCCCGCCCCCCCACCCCCACCCCCCCATCCCCAGATGACCAAGTATCGCGAGCTGACGATCTCCAGCGTCAACATGAAGCCAACCAAGGTTACGGCTGCGGGCTCTCCCGCCGTGTCCATGGATGTCCTTAACCATCTCGCGGGAAACCCGCATGAGGTAAGTCTTGCTGCGGTTGGTTGCCCTTGCCGTCGTCGTTGTAGTTGTTGTTGTTGTCGGTGCGGTTGGTGTTGGTGACGTTGACGTTTTTGTGTGGATGTTGTCGTTGCTGCTGGTGCTGGTGCTGTTGTCTTCCGGAAGATCCATGCCCCGTGCTGATCGAACTTGTAGGTCAGTGCGTTGCGACCTGCGCACGCCGGAAAACCTCAAGTGTGCGGAACTTAGAGCAGACCCAAACGCAAAACGCGGTATCCAAGCAAGTGCCATTCAAACCCCACGGCAAAGAAGACTCCGAAGATTTTTTGTTGTTGAAAATCATGAGGAATGAGTTCAGCAGTAGTCCCTCTCTGATGTCAGATATGTCTTGTAACGACCCTGGTTTTTGAGTACCAATATGAAATTTGGGGAAGCTGGGTTAGGGTTGTAGGGTTGGATACGGTCTGCGTACCCCCTCTCCCTGTTCCATTTCCTCTTAAAACTTATTTTTCACGAACCTGCCGGTGACGTGTCTGGCCAACCGAAAAACATACCCCCAAACAACCCGAACCGAAACAACCTCGAACCGGGACAAAGCCGCCACTACCCGAGTGAACTCAAACATCTCGGAACCACCCGAACCGAAACAACCCGACACTTATCCGAGAACCAAACCAAACCCGGACAACCAACCCCAACCATCAACTTTGGGCAGGATCCGCCAAAGTATGGCGCCGCGTACGGGCACTTCGGAGGCGGGCTGGAGGGAAAGGAGGCATGCGAGGCTCTGTACGCGCTCTGCAACATGGGCTCGGTCGACACGATGGTGTCCAACTTCCTGCAGCCCCTTCAAGTACGTAGTGTAGTACCACCATGGATTGTTGTTTGTGCATGTAGACGGAAGGCATGGGGATGTTTTTTGCTTGTTTTCTCTCTCTCGTCTAACGAGTGGTGGCTGGTGTTGCAGAAGGAGGCGCGTGCGACGACGCGATCGAAGCCCCAAGTTGAAAAAGCGCCTGCTATTTTTGCATGGCTGTTCCTCCCCTGCAACGCGTGTGCTGCTGTTGCTGCTGCTGTTGTTGTTGCTGATGCGGGTGCTGCTGCGGCCGCCGCCGCTGCTGATGATGCTGTTGTTGCTGCTGCTGCTGTTGCTGCTGATGCCTTTCTTGACAGGAGTTGGTCGACGAAAAGAGCCGAGTGCACTGCAGCCTCAACCTCAACACGGAGACGGGGCGGCTCTCCGCCCGAAAGCCCAACCTGCAGAACCAGCCTGCTCTGGAGAAGGACCAGTACAAGATTAGGGTGAGAGGAGTTGTGTACATGACGTGTAGACTCCTGTAGGTTTGCATGACGTAAGATACCACACCCCCTGGGCCGATTTTCAAAGCTCGATTGTTCGGCAGGAAAAGCAGCGACGGTGCCGAAAACGGCGGCGTTTGAACCGTCTCGTCGAGAGCTTTCCGAGAACGTATCCTTTGATTTCAGCATCCTCTTCGTCGTGGAGTAATGGAGCTTTGAAGATGGTTCCCGGGGGCGTGGTATCCTACGAAACCTACCACGGTAGCAAATTTTACATTCCATCCCGTGGCCCACTTCCGAAACGCGCTTTTTTAAGTCGTTCGCGACTAGACATTGGGCGAGAGAATCAACTCTCGCGCTCGATTTTCCGCGCGTTTTTTCAAGATACGGGGATGCTTCCCCATGGAAAGTAGAGGGCTTTGCACTGTGGTATGATGTACTCCACGGTTGTCCATGGAGTGATCGAAGTCGGGAGGTGGTGGGCCAATAGTAAATAGCGCTCCCCAGAGCCTGGCACATTGGGCTGTTTACACGCCAGGTTCGGGACGGTGGGCGGGAGGGCGGGAGACGTTGGGAAGATGCAGGACCAGTGAGCCCTCGTGTCCTTTGGTGATGGCACCAAGGAGTTTGGGATTCGTACGTCTCTACAACCATCCTTGGTGTCTTTCATGTGTTTGGCCTACAAAAGTATCTGGGTGTATCTGAGCACTCACGTTCCTATGCTCGGGGCACCAACTCTAGCCCCCCCCCCCCCCCCCTGGGAGGTGTTTCCC